GCCAGCAAAGACAGCTTCTCCATGCCCCCCAAAACAGCCTGCGGTGGAGGAAGCAAGCCGCGGGGGTGGCTATTAACCCCTGAAGCCAGAGATGCCACCTAGATGCTGCGCTCAATGTTCCCAGTTACCCCCTGGTGTTGCTTTCTGGGGTTCTATGGCTCTGCCCTCCATCCCAGCCCTGTGACCCCCTTCCCAGTCTCACCGGTAAGGCTGGGGGCGGCAGGGCGATGGGGGCCAAGTTGTGGGGGTGCCTTGCCAGCTCCTCCCGCAGCCTGTGGTTCTCGGCCAGCAGTGCAGTGTAGACCTCCCCAGAGAGGGCTTCACCTGCGAGGTGGAGTTGGGGGCCCCCACAATGCAGAGATGGGGACTAGGAGCAAGTCCTCACCTCTCCCATGCCCAGGGATGGGTGCTGGAGGGCTCAGAACCAGCTCTGACACCCCCCTCCCTCCAAACCATCTCATGGTACAAACCATCAGAAGGGGATGACCACTGACAGAGCCCAGCAGTTCTGAGTCCCCCCACCCTGAAGGGTCCCCATCCCCACTTGCACCCACCCACTTGCTTCTCAGCGTTCCTGCCCACCCTGGAGAGCTTCTCCTGCAGCACCTGCTCCATTGCCTCGATCACCTGTGGGAGAGAGCAGAGCCGTCCCCGTGTCACCAGCTCAAAGCAAAGCTGTGGTGACCATCATTTCTCCTCAGCCATGGTGGTCCTGGGACTCAGTAGTGTTCATGGAGGTGTGAGATGAGCCAGAGGGTCCTGCCTCCTCCACAGGACCTCATACCTTTCTCACCCCACCCCCATATCCCCCAACTCACCTTCTCCTGTTGCCGTACCGTCTCCTCCAAGCCCTTCATCTTGGCCACCTTCTCCTGGCACCTCCTCAGCGTGACTTTCTCCTGCTGGTGGGCTTGCTGGAGCAGCACCAGGTCCTTCTCATGGTCATTTTTCTGTGGAGGTCGAGGGCAAGAAGGGGAGAACCCCCCCCTCAGGGACCTTTGTGCCAAGTCTCAGGCCTTAGGACATCAATTGTACAGCTGGGAAAGCCTCATGGTGGGAGTCTGGGCGCTCTCAGGCACTTGCTTGGCTATGGAGGTGTCATGATGCTCTCCCTGCTGCCCCCCTGCTCCTCCACACCCCCCAATCCCTCAGGCAGCCCCTG